TCCTGCCGAAATTTTATCATAAATGCAACAAATAGCGAACTTTTCATACATGAACTCAAATAAAGAATACCGTTTGTAATTTCCGTGCGCAAGCCACTTTTAGGAGAGCAAAAGTTGACCACCCCCCTGGATAGCAAAATTTACTATTTTCAATTTTTTTTATTTTTCCATAATTTAAGAACTCAAGCAATCCATACATATAAAAAATTTCATTTCATGAACAGAATTGTAGAATTGAGAGCAATTTCAAAATTGTCTTACTTTTTTTGATACACCCTGTATAATATATCCAGGAATATAATTGTATTCTGAGTCACATTGAGAACTATGAGTGCTTTCCGAATCCGAGCTACTGCCTGACATGCTGGAAAATATATAAAATGTATAATGCTCGTCGAAATTAAGTCCCTTAAGCTACGTCACACTACGCTCGTCCCAGACTCTTGTTGATACGCGACAATTTTACGAAAATCGCAGTTTAGAGCCTCGTATCTCGCGAATGAAAAGAGAGAACCGAAAAATGTTGAAGAACCTATTAACTAACTTTTTGTCCTCTACCAAATATCAAAAAAAAATTTTGTGACATAAGCACTTTAATTAGCAACATGAGGAGCAATTTTTTGTTCAAATAAAGATTGAGAAGAATGGAGATTCCTCTAATTTGGTCTGGGATGAAGTTCCATATTTCTGCCTCAACAAACATGAAACTCTTGTTATTGTGCGAGGCTGTGGCAAAAAGTGTGTTGTTTGATTGTCACTTAGATGGTCTTTAGGATGCATTTAACATTTTCCAATGTTTACTGCAATTCTCGCATTCTTGGCGGCGCGGTAAATGCTTTATAGTTCATAGAAGAAAGCGTTATGTATACAATTAACAAAACGAATATCACTAATAAGATTTTTATTTTCTTTACATAGTTCGCCATATTGGTGAGTTCGTTCGTTGGAGCTTATGGACTCGTCGTAGGTACAGTGTACTTAGAAGTATTGTGATTAATCTGACAAATTATGACGCATGCATCCTCTCTATTCGACCTGCATGGTTTTGACCTTCATGTGTGGATTGAGTCGATGCAAAGCGAATCACGAGATCCTTACGTATATTTTTATGTTCTAAGTAAATGTAAAACCAAGGACGGATTTTCTGGGGGGGGGGGGGGGGGGG